GATAAACTGGCACATCTAAAGGCAGCTGCGTATTCTCAACACTATGACAGAAGTTGGAAATAAGAAAAACCTGTTTTTGGGTGACAACAATGCTGCACTGTCACATCTCTTGAAATAAAATAAAAGGCCTGCACAATTCTCTAAGGAATCTTTGGATTTTTCCTGAGGAAAGTTTTTAACGATCAACCATAAGCCAGAGTGACCCTGTGGTAAGATGAGTGGTGAATACATTTATAAACAAACAAAACTTTGTGGTTATTCTACACTCAGTGATGCCAGGGCCAGATCATACCATAGCCCACCAAATTCATGGGAAATGCCTCTGCTCTGGCTTCCCAGCTGTTACCTATAAAAAGCAATTCATACTGTCTGATTGTACTTTTATATGGTACTTCTCCTTAAAGTTGGACTATATAAAACTGCAAGACCTTTTTACTGATGTTTAGACTGATGTCATTTAATTGCATACATGATTTTACTGCTGGTGTCTCAATTAACTGTAGACCGGTTATTTGAAAAAGAAAATGAAGGTAGGACTTGTAATACTATGAGGAAGCTACCTATCCTTGACCCGGCCCTGAAGGATCCTTCCCTCTTTGGGGTTTGTTAACAGCTTTTAAAATGTTAATTCAGAAGAAGGAAGTGTGGGGGGCACTTTTGTTTCTCAGAACAAGACGGGTGATGACACATGTGGCCCTAATCCAGGAAGAAGAACCAGGTTTTGTGTGTTGGGGGGGGGGAAGTCAGGGGTGAAATGCTCCCGGTTCGGACCGGATCGCTTGATCCGGTAGCGATGGTGGCAGGTGGTTCAGAGAACCGGTAGCAAGAATCCCTGCGCCCCCCCCCCATGCCCAACTGAACCGCACAATCATCAGAGGCTTTTTAAAAAACTTTTAAAAGTATTTTTTTCTACAACTTCTTCCACCGAAAAAATGCTTTTAAAAGTAAAAAAGAAAGCCTCTGATGATCGCGCGGCTCAGCTGGGATTGTCAGAGAGACTTTTAAAGCATTTTTTTCCTGCAACCTCTTCCGGGGAAGAGGTTGCAGAAAAAAATGCTTTAAAAGTCTCTCTGACAATCCCAGCTGAGTTGCCTGATGTCAGAGCCTTTTCAAAGCATTTTTTAAAACGATCAGGCACGATGACCGTCCTAAATACAGGCCAGGTGCCAAGCGGCCAAACTTTGATCCTGTGACCACGGGGATGTTGCAATGGTCATAAGTGTGAAAAATAGTCATTATTCACTTTTTTCAGTGTTGTTATACTTCAGGGCTTCTATAACTTTGAACAGTCACTAAAAAACTATTATGAGTGGAGGATTGCCTGTAGTCGTCTCAGAGTGGTGGAGCCCCCATTCCCCCTGGGAACAACTCTTTGCATAGGCTCTAGTGTCAATCTTTTGGTGGCATGTTGGTCTTGGGGAATAACTGAACTCTCCCTAATAACCCCAGTTAAAATTTCTCCTCAGCAAGATGATTTCTTTTCTCTTATGTGCGTATAGAATTCTAGATCATCAGTTCAGTTCCTGCTTCTGGGGCTGAGGCAGTAAGGCTCAAAACATCAATTTCCTCTCATTTTGTACCTCTAGAAATGAAGAAAGGAAAGGGCAAGAAAGGAACTCTCTAAATGCTGTGGAATTCCACACCTTTCAGCCATGACCAAATATGGACACCTCCAACCAGTCACCTGGGATTATGAGATCCAGCAGTGGAGGCCAAAATGGTTCCTTCCCCTGAACAAAAGTCTTATGACATCCTGGTTGTTATTTAGCACACCATTACTTACACAAAAGAAGAACTAGGAGGAAGTACATGTCTTCATCCACAGCTTGGCCATTCATGTACTGATTTAGGCCACAATGTGGGTTTATTTTAAAAACTTGCCATTTTATGTAAATCTAGCCAATCTGTTTTGAAAGTCATGGTTTCTGAATTAGGAAAGTGTCATTTATTGAATAAACATTTATTTATTCAATAAATGATGAAGCAAATCATAGCTTAGTATAAGGCATCAACTCAGTTATTATAAAACTTGTATCTTTGTAGTCTCAAAGGTGCTTTTTCAAAAGGCAACGGGACTTCGTTTTTCCTTGAAGAAGTTTCACTTCTCATCCAAGAAGCTTCTTCAATCCCGAGAAGCTTCTTGGATGAGAAGTAAAACTTCTTCAAGGAAAAACAAAGGAAGTCCAGTTGCCTTTTGAAAAAGTACTTTTGGGACAACCATGACCTGGATGACTAAGAATCTCCATAGACATTGTATCCTTGTAATTTGTACCTTCAAATTAATGTGGACTCCTGGCAAGGTTTTTCAGAAGTGGTTCGCCATTGCCTTCTTCCTAGGGCCAAGAGAGAATGACTGGCCCAAGATCACCCAGCTGGCTTTGTGTCTCAGGCAGGGCGAGAACATACAGTCCCTTGGACTCTAGCTTGGTGCCTTAACCACCACACCAGACTGGCTGTCTTGTAATATTTTACTTATTCTGTACAAGGGGGAAGTTTTCACAGGTTTCCCTAAAGACAATTTAGATCCAAATTAGCCTCAAATCCTTTTGTGACTGGACTATAACTGCCTCTTCTGTCCAGAACCAAACTCAAAACAAGGCTGACTCTCCTAGATGAACTCTGGAAATGCCATGGGTCTCCTTCCTGCCTGTGACCACTAGATGGTGCTGCAGCCCTACTCTTTGCTCCCAAATGCAAACCCTGTCAATCCTGCAGGCGGGATGGGTGTTCCAAGCCACTCTGGGGATGTCAGGGCCATTGAAGGTCTGATCCCGCCTTCATAATACCCCACTTTAATACAATGTATACATGCAATAGGAAAGGACTAAAATCTCTTCCAGTCATGCTGGTTTTAACCAGCAAGCCACAAACTGTACAGGTAATCCTTGACTTCTGACCGCAATTGAAATCAAAATTTTTGTTGCTAAGCAAGACAGTTGTTATGTGAGGTTTGTTCCATTTTATGACCTTTCATGATATAGTTATTAAGTGAATCACTACAGTTGTTAACACTCATTCTTTGCATTCTTCTTCATGCAAAAAGTAACTATAGCCCAACTCACAAAAATATAACTATAAAAGACAGATTAGAAATAAAAATTAAAATAAGCAAGACAATAGTTACACCTATCTGATCTTGATGAATATAAATCACAGGGACCTGATGGATTACATCCCAGACTTCTGAAGGAGCCAGCAGATGTTATCTCAGAACCATTGTACCATATTTTTCAAAAATCCTGGAACACCAGGGAACTACCTGAGGATTTGAAAAGAGCTGATGTGGTTCCCATCTTCAAAAAAGGGAAAAAAACAGACCCAGGAAGCTACGGACAAATCAGCCTAACATCAATACCTGGGAAGATACTGGAAAAAATAATCAAAAAACAGATCTGCAAATATCTATTATTTATTTATTATTATTATTATTATTATTTCAATTTGTATGCCGCCCCTCTCCGAAGATTCAGGGCGGCTCACAATGCATTTAAAATCATTATAAAAACATTTAAGAATTAAAAACATTAAAAACTCATTCACACCATTCATGGCCGGATCTCGACGGATCGCAAGAGCGAGATCAACGGCCCCAGGCCTGCCGGAAAAGTCAGGTCTTTACCACTTTTTGGAAGGCCAATAGGGTGGGGATGGTCCGGACCTCAGGAGGTAACTGGTTCCAGAGAGCTGGGGCAGCCACAGAGAAGGCCCTCCCCCACGGGCCCGCCAGCCAGCGTTGTTTAACTGACAGGACCCGTAGGAGACCAACTCTGTGGGATCTTACCGGTCACTGGGAGCGATGCAGTAGAAGGCGGTCTCGAAGATACCCTCGAAGAAGCCATGTAGGGCTTTAAAGGTAATAACCAACACCTTGAATTGTGACCGGAGACCAATAGGGAGCCAGTGCAGCTCGCAGAGAATTGGTGTAATGTGGATGTACCTAGGTGCACCCATGACAGCTCGTGTGGCTGCGTTCTGGACCAACTGTAGTTTCCGAACACGTTTCAAGGGTAGCCCCATATAGAGCGCGTTGCAATAATCTAACCGTGAGGTGACAAGGGCATGAGTGACCGTGAGGAGAGCCTCCCGATCCAAGTAGGGTCGCAATTGGTGCACCAGGCGAAGCTGTAGCAAAGGTCCCCCTAGCCACATCTAGAAACAAATGGAGTTATAACTAAAAGCCAGCATGGGTTTGTTAAAAACAGATCATGCCAAACCAATTTTATTTCATTCTTTGACAAAGTGATTAAATTAGTAGACCAGCGAAATGCTGTGGACATAGTAAGCTGGAAGTGGGATGATAGCTCTATGAGCTAGTGATGAACACCAAGAAAGAGCAAGCATAGTTAAGCACAAACACTTTTCGATGAATTTAACAGAATAACAGAGTTGGAAAGGACCTTGGAGGTCTTCTAGTCCAATCCCCTGCTCAAGCGGGAGACCCTAGACCATTTCAGACTGTCCAGTCTCTTTTTGAAAACCTCCAGTGATGGAGCACTCACAACTTCTGAAGACAAACGATTCCACTGGTTAATTGTTGTCACTGTCAGGAAATTTCTCCTTAGTTCTAGGTTGCTTCCCTCCTTGATTAGTTTCATCGTTGCTTCTTGTCTTGCATTCTGGTGCTTTGGAAAATATGTTGATCCCCTCTTCCATGTGGCAGCCCCTCAAATATTGGAAAACCTGCTATCCTGTTGCCATTGGTGCTTCTTTTCACTAGACTAGACCTACCTAGTTCCTCCAACCTAATTCCTGCAACCTACCCTGCAATTTAGTTCCTCCATTGGCCAATTATGGACATGAACTCAAGGACTTGCTCCAACATGGCTTTTCCCTTCCTGCCTGCTCCCTTCCACTTGCCACATGGAGTGCCTTCCTTTCCTGCTTCTTCAACCTGCTCTAGCTCTGGTTGCCCTTCCTTAACATGCACAGCCTTGCTGCTCCCTTCAATGCTGGTCCTAATTCCCTGTCAGGATGTTGATCCCTTCCACGCTCTGCCTCACCTTCTTTGGTTCACTCAACCAACACTTCAGGATCCAGGCTGTGGTCAGCTATTTCTGGTCCCGTGTCCCTCCCAAAAATGACATTTCATGTGCATTCTGTTTGTTGATCTGTTCACCTTCCATGGCTAGAAGATGTGACCATTCCATGGACACAGAAATCTGTCTGAGAAGAATCCAAGCATGTCATGACAACCACAACTCAGACTGCTGCTTGATTAAGCACGGCTGAATCCTGATGAACTATTATCTGAATACTGTATGACTGTAACCTTGTTGCTAGTATCCTTACGATTTATATTGACTGTTTCCTAATATGATTTTATTACTTATTTGTTCCCTATGACTATCATTAAGTGTTGTACCTTATGATTCTTGACAAATGTATCTTTTATGTACACTGAGAGTGTACACACCAAGACAAATTCCTTGTTTTTCAAATCACACTTGGCCAATAAAGAATTCTATTCTATTCTATTCTATTCTATTCTATTCTATTCTATTCTATTCTATTCTATTCTATTCTATTCTATTCTATTCTATTCTATACACAGGGAGGTATCCCTTGAATGATGAAACTAAGAGCCAGTGAAAGTGACCTAAGGCAGGATTTGGGATAAGATCCTCATTAACAAATCAAGGATAAGACAAGAAATGCAAAGGGGAAGGTCTCTCTCAGTATCTTTTCCCCACTCAAAGGACTGGTGGCTGAAAAAAAAATAATTAAAAAAAAAAGCCTATAACAAAGAAAGAAAAGAAGATTTGGATTCTCCACAGAGAGAATTGGTCCAGAGCGAGCAAAGAAACCTGATGGCAGCAAATTGGCACCTGCAATTTCAGAGCTCTGTCTCCAGAGCCACCAGGCTGTTTGTTCCTCCTCCTCCTCCTCCTCCTCCTCCTTCTCCAGTGATTATGAGTGTGTCTTGCACTCATGTTCAAAATGCAGCAGAGACCGCTTGCTATTGTTTGTCATGCACCCCGAGCTGAAGAAGAATCCTCTGGATTTCATCATGCTGAGGTTTCATGGGCTGCCTCTTTTATATTCCACAGCATTGCTGCTAAAATTGAAGGGCTGCTCTCCACCAGCCCAGCCACATCCTGCATGGGGAGGCAGGAACAGAAATGATGTACCAGGTGCACCCTGTTATCAGCCTAAGTAAAGTGTCACCAGCAATTTCTCCTACCTGCCAGGTAATGAGAGCTGGCAGGCTGCTGAGGCAGAAGCTTTTCACAAATGAGAAACTGTAAGCAAGGACAGTGGGAATTCGGGGGAAGGAAGGGAGAGTCACACCTTGAGGTGTCATGGGCTTCCTTGTTTTTGGCAACCTGAGTGGCCCTCAAGTGCTTCACAGGAAGGTGTCTGAAATGCTTTCAGAGCAGAGGAGCTGCTGAGCAGGAACTGACTGGAGGCTGTGAAGCACATTGTCCGTCTCCTTTTTTCAGATCCAGTGGGTTCCTGGCCTGATCTGCCCTTGGGGATTTTTGGATGTTCTAAATATTGCACATGAAGAGAAAAATGTTCTCCATCCTCAGCAGACCTAACTTTTTATAAACCATAGTTATGATCAGGGCCGGATTTAGATTGAAAGAGGCCCTAGGCTAATCCACTTATGAGGCCCTTTCACCAGTGGTGGGATTCAATATTTAACAACAGGTTCTGTGGGCGTGGCTTAGTTGGGGGTGTGGCTTGGCAATCATGTGACTGGGTGGGCGTGGCTAGCTGGTCACGTGACTGTGTACGCGTGGGTAGCTCGTCATGTGACCGGGTGGGCGTGGCTATGTGCATGACTGGGCCTCGCACTTTTGACCGGTCCTCACACTTATGACCATCCTCACATTTATGCCCGTGCAGCTTTCTTAACAACCATGTCACTCATTTCACAACTGCTTCTCTTCACCATGGTGACAAGATAGGGCAAAAACGTAAAATGTGAGGACAGTCGTAAGTTCGAGGACTGGTCAAAAGTGTAAGGACCAGTCAGAAATAACTTTTTCAGCCCTCTGAGTAGTCCATATGCATAAAAGGATACAGCAATAGAGAGGGATGAAGGAAGGGAAGGGAAATTAGAGTAGGAGAGAGAGGGAGGAAGAGAGGAGGAGAAGGAGAAAGGAAGAGAAAGTAGGGAGGAGAAGAAGAGGGGGAGGAAGAGAAAGTAAGAAGGAAAGAAAAGAGAGAGGTGGTAGATTTGAGGAGAAAGATTGCTATACAATAAAAAAGATGAAAGGGAAGAAAGCCAACCCCAAACAAATATAAAGATATTAAGATAAAGAATGAATTGTTAAACTTTAAAGAATAAAAGAGAACAAATATGAATAAATAACAATAATTAGAAACACACATACAAACATACAATCTATTTTCTTTGAACAGAGTATTTGGCCGGTTCACAAATTTAAACAGTGTTTAGTCATTTCAATTAAATTTACAATTTCTATATTTCCTTTTTGCCATATTTATTCCTCATCTATTTTTGTAAAAAACCAATATTACCCTCATCCTCATCTCTAATCTTAATCAAATTCAATTTTTCCCTTCTATTCTATATTATACCCCTTCCCATTGTCATCTATTTTTATATCCATCCTCACATTGGTTAATTATGTAATATTAGTTGTTTAATATAAATTCAACATTTTAATATAAATCAATTAGTTATATAACTACCTTTTTTGTATATTAATCAATATGAACATGAATATTCCAATTATTTCCATGCAATCCAATTTCTTACAAATCCATTAATTATATTTACCAATAATAATAAACCAAATAATTTCCCCCATATATTCCTCCAAACCACAACTTAACCATTTCTGCTTTCAGAAATATACAATTAATAGTATCTCAATTATTACAATTCCCTAGTTAAATACAGCTTTTTTTTTCTTTTGTGTTTTAAAATCCTGAACTCTTCTCTTTTTCCCTAAATTTCCCATTGTTTTCACCTACCTTTTTTGGTGAGGAAAAAGAAAAGAATTCTGCCTGCCTAATTTTCCAACCTTGCAGCAACAGCAAAGCAGTTTCACTTTCGTTTCTCAGTATAGCTAGGGGAAAAAAAAATCAGCACTCTTTGGAAGGAAGCAAAACAGCGGAGACAAATCAGCTGAGAGCCGGGAGGCCAATTAGCCTCTGCTGAAGCTCCGGGGGCCAATAAAATTACAAAAAAAACACCGAACCCTTTGTTAAATTGCTGGCTCCCCCGCCCCTCGCCCACCACTATTTATTGGCAATAAATAGTGGTGCGGAGGGGCGGGGGAGCCAGCAATTTAACAAAGGGTTCGGCCGAGCCACCTAGAACCCCCAGAATCCCACACTGTGTAGGCCCTTCTGGATCTTGAGGCCCTAGGCTGAAGCCTAGTTAGCCTATAGGAAAATCCGGCCCTGGTTATGATCCTGGTTGTCAATATAAATCAAGCCCTGTTTTCTAGCTAAATAAATGTATTCATTTAAAATGTGATACCTAATTTGAGAGCTGTCTACAGTTTTCCAGTATGGCTGCATCATAAACTGGGTTGTTCTCAATCTCCTTTTCAATTATTCCCACCATAGAATCTCCTCCCCTCCCCACAACTGTCTTTGTTATGTTAATTTATATTGAATCACATTTGCCGTTTTAATGCTTGTCCAGTCTCTTTGAAGACATCCTTCTGGCACTCTTTGCAGTCTGCTCTGATTTTCTCCTGAATTATCTGGTCTCATATTCTCACTTACCATATAAGGCTCTCTTGCTGTGCATGGGTGACTCCAGCATGTTTATGAAATTATCTTAAGTAACTGGCCCAAATAGTGTTGGCTTCAGGTCCCCACTACTTGCTTTCCTCCGCTTTACAAAAAGTCTTATCTGTTCCCATCACCACTTTCATGTTATTTAACCAGTTTTTCATGTTGTCTATGGAGATTCTCAGTCATCCAGGTCACAGTTGTCACAAAGGTGCTTTTTTCAGGAGGCAATTGGACTTTCTGTTTTTTCTTTGAAGATGTTTCACTTCTCATCCAAGAAGCTTCTCCCGCTCTGACTGGATGGTGGGGAATGGAAGTAGCTCCGCTACGAAACTATGTGTTCAGGCTTGATAAATCAACACTTACAGCTTGAGAATCAATGAGTAGTTACGATCGGCCTCTCCTCTCCCCTTCTCTCCCTCAGCCTTGCCCCACAAAAGCCTCCCCTATCCTATCCCCTTCTCTTCCTCAAGCTTGCCCCACAGAAGCCTCCCCTATCCTATCCCCTTCTTCTTTTTTTTAATTTAATTTGTATACCGCCCTTCTCCCAGAAGGGACTCAGGGCGGTGAACAGCCAAAATTAAAAAACATACAAATGCAAAAGTTAAGATAATTAAAAGAATTAAATCACTGGCTACCCAATTTAAAACCCCAAATCCATAAAATTTAAAATCCCAATTAAAAACCATTTAGGCTAGGCTGGCTTGATGAAATAAAAATGTCTTCAGGGCTTTACGGAAGGTCCGGAGGTCCGGGATCAATCGTATTCCAGGAGGCAGCTCATTCCACAGGGCGGGTGCCACCACAGAGAAGGCTCGCCCACTGGGGGCTGCCAGCCGACATTGCCTGACCGACGGCACCCCGAGGAGGCCCTCTCTGTGAGAGCGTATTGGCCGGTGGGAGGTTATCGGTAGCAGCAGGCGGTCTCGCAAATACCCTGGCCCTAAGCCATGGAACACTTTAAAGATGAGAACCAACACCTTAAAGCGCACCCGGAAGACCACCGGGAGCCAATGCAGCTCGCGCAGGAGAGGTTCTCTCTCCCTCAGGCTTGCCTCATAGAAGCCTCCCCTATCTTATCCCCAGCTTGCTGCTGTGAAAGTAAAACTGAAACTCCTCTCCTCTGCTTGTGTTTTGCATTAGGAACAGATTTCTTTTCAGGTGGGGAGGGGGAATAGAACTCCTTAGCATTAGAGCATGTTAATAATAATATAGGAAATATTAATGCTCTCAGTCACCAAACAGTTCTCATTGGCTGACTTGTTGTTATGGCTACCCCAGCTCATAATTACACTGATACAATTGTGGTCATACTACTTGTGGGCTACTTGTACTGCATAGCATCTCCCAGACTTTATCTTTATAGTATTTACATTCCCCAGCTTTATATTGAGTTTTGCCATAATCATAGCCTGCACAAATTTCAGACACGCTGCCTAGGATTATCGAGAAGTGAAGTTCAATGCTCAGGGGAATATTTACTGGGATGAAGGGGGTGCGATGCCTCACTGGTGAAAGATGCTGAGCTTGTCTGCTGGAAAGTTGACAGCCTGGGTTTGAGACCTGCTCCACACAATGTTCCAGCCCCAGCTTCTGCCCCCCCTAGCAGTTCAAAAGCATGCAAATACTAGTTGCAAGATGAGTAGCACTTAGACTTATATACCGCTTCGCAGTGCTTTACAGCCGTCTCTAAGCGGTTTACAGAGTCAGTCTATTTCCCGCAACCATCAGGGTCCTCATTTTACTGACCTTGGAAGGATGGAAGGTTGAGTCAACCTTGAGCCTGATGAGATTTGAACTGCCAAATTACAGGCAGCTGGCAGGCAGCAGACATAGCCTGTAGTTCTGCATTCTAACCACTGCACCGCCGTGGCTTTTAGTAGATAATAGGTACCACTATGGTGGGAAGGTAACAGTGTTCTGACAGAATTGAATAAAAATGGGGAAGCAAAATTAGTTTTCTAGGAGGGATCAAGCACAGAGAATCAGATTCAGATTAACAGAGTTGGAAGGGACCTTGTAGGTCTTCTAATCCAACCCTCCCCCCCAAGCAGGAGACCCTACACCATTTCTGACAGATGGCAGTCCAGTCTCTTCTTGAAAACTTCCAGTCATGAAGCTCCCACAACTTCTGAAGGCAACTTCTGTTCCATTGGTTGATTGTTCTCACTGTCAGAAAATTAGTTCTTGGTTGAATTTCTCCTTGATTAGTTTCCATCCATTATTTCTTGTCTGGCCTTTGGGTGCTTTGGAAAATAGGTTGACCCCTTCCTCAAAGGCCTTTCTGTAATCAATGATGTACATAGTGACCTCTTTTTGATATTCTTTGGTTTTCTCAATTAGCCAGCATGTATCAGCAACAATGTTCCATATTTCTCAGCTTTTTCTAAGGTCAGCTCAAACATCTGGCATGTCTTTTTCCATTCTAATTGGGCTAGATGATTAAATCTTCTTTTGTGGGTGTTGCAATAGAATCCTAGGGCTGGAAGGAAGCTTGGAGGTCTTCTAGTCCAACTTCATGTAATGGAATGACTGTCCATTTTTGAAAACCTCCAGTGATGGAGCATCCATGCCTTGGGGAGACATGTTTTCATGTCTGTGGAACAAGACTCAGGAAATTTCTCTTTACTTTGTCAGTGTATAAGAAATTATGAGCTGGGATAACCATAACAAGTCAGCCAAAGGGAACTGTTTGGTGACTAAGAAACAGGATTGTTGTGAGCCATGTGAGATGACTCGGAGCCAAGGCGTGGCTTAGCGTGAAGTTTCCGAAAGATGCCCTAATTAATTCATGAGCCATGAGCCAAACTTCAAAAGAAATACAGTCATTTATTAGGAGCACCATTTCGACAATATTCGGATGCAGTTAGAACTAATCCCATGTAGATTTACTTTCCCCTATGACCCTGTCTCTCCCCTCCTCCCTGGCCATGTCATAAATCACATTCTCCAATTACCCACTTTGGCTAACTGGGAAATCCAACACCCTTCTTTTGATTGCGGAAGAAAGCATGTATGGAATGTAGCTTCCATTAGGGAAATCAATTAGCTCTATCAGTTCTCCCTCCCTCCTGCTCATGGCAACTTGAAAACTTTGCAAGTTGACACTTAGCTTGACTGATCTGTATATAAGAGTTGGTTTGTCCTTGCATTATTGATTCTGTGATTTCTGGTTTTGAGTTCTGCTACCACATTGCAAGAGTGCATGGGTATCGTATACAGGCATCGTGTTTTATATTATTGTAATATAATTACAATAATATAAAATATTGTATATAAACAAGTTTCTTCTATAAATGAATCCTGCTGAATCATTTACTTGTGTGCTGGTTAGATTGCTGCAAACTCTAATATACTTCTAGTTTGGATCCCTCTTTAACTTCTAACCACTGTGTCATTCTCCGATTTGCTGGCATAGCTTAGTTTGACCGGAAAGAAGAATGCTATTATGTCTAACTACAATCCCACTACTAAATCACCCCTCCTACTTTCCCAAGTGCAATAAGGTGGCAATGTGGAAGCTTCTGGTGTTAATATGGCTTCCAAAGCTGACACCAAACCATGGTCCTAGGACTAGCCTGGTTGAGGAAATGGAACCTATCAGTAGATTGGGACAGCAACAAATGGCGAACGAGGAAGAAAGCGGCTAGCTGGCAGGAGCCAGCAAAAGCACCAAACACTAGCTACAAGCCTGCAGTTAGGAAAGTGAAAGGATTAGCAAATGCACTAAAGGGAAGTGAGGAGTTAGAGCCGCTCATTCAAAATGAATACCGCAACCTAGCAGAGGCATTCAACGAGGGGGAATTGGATGGTCTCCTTCCCAATTGCCCCACAGACTATACTATTGAGATCTTGCCAGGGCTAAATTGCCTAAGCTGAAGATGTGCTCCATGATGCCGAGGGAGATGGAAGAACTTTGGGGTTTATAGACAAGGACTTAGTCGGGGGATTTATGGTATCCAGCAAGTGAAATCAAAGGTGTCTGCCCCTTTACTTTTCAAAGAGAAGAAAGATGGGTCTCTTAGGTTGTGAGTGGATTACCATGGGCTGAACTGTATCTGTGTGGAAAATATGTATCCACTCCCCATCATAAAGAACATGCTGGGCTACCTATCCAAAGGGAAAATTTTCACTAAGATGGACGTGAGGGAAGCTTATTACCAAGTGAGGATTAAAGAGGGGGATGAGTGGAAAACTGCATTCAATTGCTACCAATTTCAGGTGATGCCATTTGGGCTGCAAGGGGCGCCAGTAGTATTCATGCAGTTGATAAACGAGGTCCTGCATGAACACCTGTACAAAGGAGTGCTGGTGTATCTAGATGGCATCCTAATTTATACCAAGACCATGGAAGAGCACGTCAGGATAGTGAGGGCACTACTTGAGAAATTGTGAAAAGCCCAGTTGTACCTGCATCTCCAAGGATGGGGTGGAAATGGACCCGGGTAAGATGAGGGCGATTCTGGAGTGAGAGGCTTCTTACACTAGGAGGCAGCTACAGAGCTTCCAGGGATTTGTGAACTTCTGTCAGCAGAACTTCATCCCCACTTTTTCCCAGATAGCCCTGCCTGTTCAAGACCGAGTCAGCCACTAAATTGGTCCATCGAATGCCAAGCAGTCTTTGAGAAACTGAAGCGGCTCTTTGCTGTGGAACCAATTTTGAAACACCGAAACCCAGATGAGCCATTCATAATCCAAGCTAGAGATGTGGCAGTTGGGGCAATTTTACTCCAGAGGAACGAAATAGGGGAGTTGCAGCCCTGTACTTATATGTTTTGCAAATTATCAGATACTGAGAGATGTTGGGCCATCTGGGAAAAGGAGGCTTATGCTGTCTGATGGGTTCTTCTAACATGGAGGCAATTCTAAGAGGGTAATAAAATCCCATTCGAGGTATGGACAGACCAGAAGAACCTAAAGGCATTAAAGACTGAGAGGAAACTATCCCCTAAGCAGGTCCAGGGTCCATCTGGTGTTTCATTGCAGTCTTTTAAAATCCTTTCAAG